CATATCATAAACAATGTAAGACTCTTGTTTAAGTGTTTCAGCAAAAATCAATAAATCATACATTAAAGCTGTAGGCCTACTTCTACTCACACAATTTTTACAACTACTGAAATTAAATTTTTTTGTTTTGTTTGTATCAGTTGTCTAAAAATATACCATAATGTTGCGATCACATGACCACCAAAACACTACTCAATTGGTAATCATGATATTGAAATATTAATACCTTTCTACATAATTATTGAACCAGTCGATAAATGCAACCTGGTGGGTTTCTAAACAGAATATCACAGAATATCAACAGTGGCATTATACTACTGTGCATTCACCAGGAAAGAATGTTATTCCCAGCCAGGTAAATTAATATTTTATGTGCTGTGATAATTCACAATTTTACATAACAGCCATGTATGCTTACAATGTATTGATTGACATAATATTTTAAGCTTAAATAAGTAAAAAAAAATTAATTTAACAATAATAATAATAATAATAATAATTATTAAGGTAACTAAAAACTTGTGCGTGACGCCAAGTCCCAAAATTGTCAGTCCAGTCCAACAATATTAATTCCTTTTCATAATCAACATGCAGTCTTTACACATTTTTCCCAAACAACACCAAAGCTGACTATTAGAAGTGAACCTCTCAAATCGGATGGCTAGCTAGCTGAAATGTCAGAGAACAAAACCAAAAAGGTCACGATCAAACTCAAAGCCATCCAAACTGAAGTGACAGCAATCCTTAATAATCTAAACAGAGCTATTAACACACACACACACCAAACCGAGATATTTTAAGCCCGATTTCCCTCAATGCTAGAGAGGGATTTCACAATTCACTTAGCTACTGAAGCAAGAAGTGAAAACACAGTTTCCCACACCTCTTTGCTCCGTCGTGATTTAACACTAATTGACAACGGTAATGTCCACTCTGGGGCAACTGAGCACAAAGCTTTACAAAACCCCTGACCCATGTGGCCCCTGGAGGCCTCCTTACCCTCAAGCCAGGGGCTTGAGTCCCTGGAGAAAAACACTTGGCTGAGCGTCAATACTCTGACAATGTGTCGTTTCTCAATGTCAGAGAAAGCAACTTTCTCATCCTGTCAAAAGATAAACCTCAAAGCTCACCTTAAACAGGTTGCCATGGTTGCCATTCAGAATCCAACTGACCCAATTAAGGAGTTTGAACACAAAGGGAAAATGGAAAGCAAGGTTCTGTCAGATAACGGCTCCATTGCACTTAGTGAAACACAGTAAGTTACACCTTATCTTATCTGTTTTCTGAACTGGCTGAAGAGTCGACTCACTGGTGTGATTCTGAATGCTGGATGGGAGGGGGAAGAAAAGATAAGAAAATGCCAGTGGTCTCAGTAGTCTGGCACCGAATCTCAGAGCTTGGCATCAGTGGCACACATTGAAGCCACACTAAAATGTGTAACTGAAGTTCATCTGCACTGACCGTAATTGACTGCAGAGTTGCTATAAGGTGACTTTTGTAACAGCTGACAAAAGTATATATTGTATGTTAGTTTTGCAAGCTTAGCTAATGTCTGTACTATGAGATCATTCCATACCAGATATATGTTAACACAAAATGTTATGTGCTGTTTTGAACACACATAAATCTCCGGATACGAACAAAAGGAAGCTATTTTATTGGTCTGTTTTCATTTCCGTTAAATGTTTCTGTTTCCCAATCAGGGGTTCACTAGAAGTAAAATAAAATAAAACTGCATTTAAAAAAAAATAATACCATTAAAATAGAACCTTTGTATCTATCATTATTTACTCATCCTCAAGCAATTCCACAATACAACAAATTCAATAAAACCATCATTTTATATTGACCAGGACTGGTGTGTTTTATGATATGTTTTTCTCCATTTTGAAGCTTGACAGTCTGTGATGACTATATTTCTGTAGGGACCATTAGCGTCAAAGATGATTGACAATTAGCATACAGTTTGGATTGGTAGTATGGTTCTGTTCTGGGCAAAAACTCCCTGCCCATCCATGCAGCCTAGCATGAATAAGAGCAGCAATGACCCCCTTAGGGTTAACAGAACAGAACTAATCTAAATGTAGAAGATACAGTATGTTCTTAATGACAATTTAATGTAACAACATAATTCAGGATAAAAGAGCCAAGTCCTGACTGTGGATGAAATGAGGAGCTGGGGATGGTGGAGGGTAATTAGCTCCTGCGCAAAGAAATAAGCTGCTGAATAATACTGAATGGACCTTATATAAAGAAGTAGTGATAGGTGTCATATTCCTATAGCTAGACATAAATCAGCTGAGAGTCAGCTGATGCAAGCTTGACTGACGTGACCTGCCAGAACTAACGCAATGCTTGATAATTGACACTGAATGGAAAAATGCATGTGAAGATTATTTAAAAATTCAATTTTTGTGTTCCACAGAAAAACACAACAGCATGTAGGTTTGGAACACCACGAGGATGAGTAAATCATTACAGAATATTATTTTAATAAAAATGTAGGTGATATCGGTTCAGCTAAAAGAAAGTTGGGATGTTTTCCAATAGCAAATGGATATGGAACAAGTTCCCTGACACTATTCCGACCATTCATAAAAGGACTGAGTGATGGTGGCTACTTGTCAGGCATGTTGCCATCAGCATGACAGACCATGGAGCCATGTCAGTCAAACAGCCAGAAAGAGGAGTGTCCAACTCAATCCACTTTGTTTCATTGTTGATCGGGGGGCCCGTACAGAGATTTAAATCACACTTGAAGTCTTTAAGACATCATAAATTTTAGCATGACATTCCGGCAGTCGGGAGGATTTCAAGAGTGAGAACGCCGGACGTATTGCAGAGAGACACTATAAATCATGCCCACAGGGGCAGCATTTATTAATCCCAACATTCATCAAGAGCAGCTGATCGCATCTGACTGCCGATAAGAGATCTGAGGAGGAACTGCTGCCACAGACGAGCCTGGATAACATATAATCTAGAGTTCTCACAAAGGCTACTTTCACACAGTCAGGGGTTAATTCACTAAATACATGTCACATTTCACGCCAAAAACATGCAGGAACTGGTTAGAACAATGATAGAACAAAATACAAAAGAATGGATAGATGGAACGATAGAACAACATATGGAGGAAAGGATGGATGGAACGATAGAACAATATACTGTATGGATGGATAGATGGAACGATAGAACAATATACTGTATGGATGGATGGATGGAACAATGGATGGAACGACAGCGGAGGAAAGGATGGATGGAACGATAGAACAATATACTGTATGGATGGATGGATGGAACGATAGAACAATATACTGTATGGATGGATGGATGAATGAATGGATGGAACGACAGAACAATATGCGGATGGGTGGATAGAATAAAATAACAATATATGGATGGATGGATGGATGAATGAATGAATGGATGGAACGACAGAGCAATATATGGATGGAGGGATAGAATAAAAGAACAATATACAGATGGATGGATGAATGAATGAATGGTTGGAACGACAGAACAAAATACGGATGGGTGGATAGAATAAAAGAACAATATACAGATGGATGGATGGATAGATAGATTTTGCCCAGACCTGCTGTGAAATTAATAACAGTTAAGCATTCTACACAAAGACTGATAAGCACATTCTGCCGCTGTGTGAACGCAGCCAAAGATAACTTGCTCAGATAACTGGACTGGGGCGTCCTTCTGGGAGGATTTTTTTGGAAGAGAGAATTGTTTAAATCATCTGACAGAGGATATGTCAGATGTTGAAAACGCTGTCACAACAAACCTGCTATGATAACAGGGAGTTGTCTACACAAACCAGAGCAGTGGGGATTTGATCAAACGCTCCAGCACTTAAAAGGAGGAGCAAGTCTCCTGCAGTCACTTCCCATGACAAGAGGGGCTTTGTCTGAACTCAAAGGAAAAGTTTGCAGCAGTGTTTCAAGACAACTAAAGATACTCTTAAAAGATGCAAACTGGAAATCAATTTTCAGTGTGCTGTTGAGAGATGTCAAACGCCTCAAGGAAAGTATGACTAAGATACATCAGCGGCACTAGAGTGCTGTCGCAGATCCTGCAAGCTGTGCCTTTCAACTCTCTCCGGTCTGTTTTTCTTTTGTTCTGTTCAATAAAGTGCTGAAGAGGGAGAAGAACAGAGGAACACAAGCATTCTTCCGCAGGTCAATGCTACTGATGCCTCAGATGATGCATTTAGTGATCGATGGAGAACACAGGTGCACAGTCACCCTAAGGACACATTTTCCCCCCAGTTTTTAATATTTTATGTTCATTTTATTTAAAGAAGAAAAAGAGGGAATAAAGACAGGATAGTGCTTTGACTAATTTGCCCTTTTAACTCAGTAAGCGTGATTAAGTTTTCCAGCACATTGATGGTGGAACTGTGCAGTTCTCTGAGGACCGCGGACAAAGAGTCTCTGTACCCACCTCTGTCTCTCTTCCTCATTTTCTCCCTTTGTCTCATTGAGAAAACAGGCACATTTAAACTCTAAACCATTTTACACATCCATTATTAATTTGATGTCAAGGCTGCATTCTTGCCATAAAATCTACACTTTGGCAAAACATTAGGACTGAAAAATTTCATTGCAATCCCCTCAGGACATTTATTGCATCTGGGCACCGAGCCTACAACTTCAGATGCACATTTTTCAACTGGACTCTTTATAGACAAGCATACAACTTTAGCTGAACACCAGCCTGGAAGCAGAGTATATCTCATTACTGAATTATGCACCGGCTGTAGTTTGCATTTTAAACGTGGAAGTGATTACAAAAAATGGCGAGCAGAAATCATGATTGCATTACCATTCATCATGAATCAAGTTCAAGCACTGTGGTTCAGTTTAACTAGCAGAGACTGAACTAAAACAAAACCAACAAAAAAATAATCAAATGGATAGTTTGGACTCTTCAAATGTTTTGCTTAATACTGTCATCCTATTGCTTATTGGTTTTGCATTGTGGCAAAGAAGTTCAATCTCAAGAAACCTGACAAAAACATGTCTGCAGCATATCTCATATATGGTGTGAAATGTGACCTGGACATGATTTTGTGAGATGTACCTAACAAGACCCCCTACATATGGGTATAATCACTGTAACACCCATCTCATGTGGCTTACTGCTTTGATAAACCTACGGTTTAGCTCTCAGATTAATGAAACCGGTATGATTAGCAGACAATCAGATTTTGGACCCAGTTAATTTCAGGGTGGTTGATTTAGGTGTCATTGTGCTGGACTGAACATACTTGACCCTCTGGATCCAGATGCAGTAGTCTGTGATGTAGAGGTCATTGAGGATATAGGCCGGATCGTTCTCCCGGAAGATCTTATGGATGGCCAGCAGACATTTCAGAACGCAGGCCTTCCCTGTGACAAAGAAAACAAGCAGTAAATCAGTCTAAACCAGAAGGATGTGTTTATTCAGACTAAACTAAATAAGCATGCTCAAAAATTGTGTACAAATATTTTCTCAATCAGCATTTTTGTCAAAAGTTAGATTTTTTATTTTGTTTCTTTTAAGCATGAATCTAACATAAGTTAGTAAGGCTTATGCTTAAACCAATGGGGTGACAAAAAATTCTGAAAACAGTGTGCTATAAATTTAAATAGTAAATTTGTCTTATTTTAAAGATGCTTGGGTATTTTCATCAGAAAACAAGACAAAAATACAGATAAATTTTTTTTTTTTTTTTTTAGCAGCGAAGACAGCTTATTTAGTAATCAAATGTGCAACTTTTGTTGAAGCAAAAGGGGAAATCTGTGCTGAGCAGATGCTTTTTGAGATGATTGTATTTTCTATTCTGGCAGATGCTTCCACAACACACAAAATACACCCACAATCACCGTGCCACAGTGAGGATATTTGTTGTCATAACACCCGTCTCCCAAATAAGGTGCAAAAATATCCCCTCCGTGCAAAGTAACGGGCTCAGTTGTAAAGCGAAAGAAGGGCCGCGAGGATTCTCGAGCCGCCCACAGAATAGCCTGCCAGCCGGTGGAGACTTTCCAGCCGCCTCAGAAAACAAACAGCGTACTCGCACCGAGGAAAGCCTTACACAAACATTTGGTTCCCATTTAAGCTGGAGCTCTTACGCGGAGAAGCCGTCGTGGCTTCCAGCTTCAGGACATACGAGAAAAACTCCATGAACTTGAACCATACTCTGTCTTTCCCTATTCTTCCTCTCTCTCTCTCTTTCTCTGACCGTCATCCATCTATAATTGAAGGGTTTTCTACTTTTCTTCACTGCTCCCTGGGAGAGGGGAAGAAAAGTAAGCTTTGGATTCTTTCCAAAGACCAGCTGTGGGACTGCGCGGTGCAGTGTGTGCTGGGTTTAGATTGCATGTTGAGCCAGTTAATCATGTGCTGCAATCAGGCATCTCAGGGGAAGAAGTTGAGGAGAGGAGAGCAAAGAAGAGAGAGAAGAGGAATGGGGTGATAAGGTGAGATTCAGGCCCTGGAAGTACAGATGGTAAAGGTCCACGTGGTGCCAATATTTAAATCTCACAGAATTTTATTTCATTCGAATACACAGCTACTTTTTGAGCGGAGAAAGATTTTTTATTGGTTATTTTAATAATATAAAATATGACGGCATAATTGTGCTCATTTGTCATGAAAATCATGTTAAAATGCAAAACAAAATAAAAGGTCCATCACACAAACATTTTTTTTTTCTTTGATTTAGGTGTGAAATATGACCTGGATATGTTGTTGACAAGCTTGGTGAGATTCAGCCTCAAACCACCAATTTATTAATCACACACAAAAAAAACCCTAACATGACTGAACAAAGCAGCTAACCTCGAGAAACAGCTGCAAAAATTACATTAAAGAACAGTGACATCAAATTATGTTGCATCAAATGGCCTACATCTATCATTGTGAATCCAGCAATGTACTTAAGATTGATTATGTTGGCTTAGAGATGACAATTCCTGCTGAGTCAAATTATGTTGCATCAAATGGCCTACATCTATCATTGTGAATCCAGCAATGTACATAAGATTGATTATGTTGGCTTAGAGATGACAATTCCTGCTGAGCAAAACAATGAATCTCAATAAGCTATGATGGAACTTGGCAAAAAAAAAAAAAGTCAAGCTCTGAGAGATGTGAAAGGGTTTTTAAAACGCCATGAAAATTAACCTGCTTCCAAACCAAAAGATAAAACAACTTCCAAAAAAATACAACAACACACATTTATATAACATAAATGTATACTACCCTTTGAAAGTTAAATTGATCAAACTAATTAAACAGATCAAAAGTAATAGTAAAAACATTTATAATGTTACAAACTATTTCTTTTTCAAATAAATTCTGTACTTTAGAACTGTATAGTCAAAGAACGCTTAAAAAAGATCTATCAGGGTTTCCACAAAAATATTAAACAGCAACTGTTTTCAACATAGATAATAATAATAAATCTTTCTTGAGCACCAAATCAGTCTAAATGATTTCTGACGGATCAGGTGACACTGAAGACTAGATTATTGACTGCTGAAAAATCACCTTTACATCACAGAAATAAATTGCATTTTAAAATATATTTTAAATAGAAAACAGTTCTATTAAATTCTAACTGTATATACATGTTGATGAAGGGGTATTTAGGCCAGCAATTAAGGCCTGTATAAATATAAGGCATTTAACATGGTGCTATGGAGGTAGTTATAACAAAAAAGTTGTGAAACACTGCACCAACTGGCAAGCCGATACCAGTGCAGAGCAAAACAAGTGGAAACTGAATCCAAGCTATGCAGTTAAATGAAATACAGGCAAGCCTCTGAACGTTCAGATTATATATGAGCGTTTATATTTGCACACAGTGCATCTTTCTAGGACGTTACTCACCGTCTCCATCCTCAATCTCCTTGAGGGCCCGCTGGCTTTAGCAGGATCTCTGGGAGAACAACCAGACAAGCTGCCAGAGGGCTATTCAAATATTTACCCCTGGATAGCATTTACCATCACGGCTTTCCTCATGCAGCATCATTAATGGGTTTGTTTTCCTACTAACTACAACTGTTTGTTTTCACTGCTGGTTAAACGAAGTGCCTCAAATTGGAGTACACACATCAGATACACACCTCCATTCATGTTCCGCCGACAAATTAATTACCCAGGAGTCACGGTGTGACAGGGTAGTCTGCTTTCTGAGGGGAGTCACACCGCTGTTACCGTTCATTAAAGGGGAGCCTTATCGCTCACGGGGCTTTGATGGTTTTAAATCTACAAATTGTAGACTGGAGTGAAATGTCACAGACTCTGCATGAAAATATACACCAGTGAGTAGATTACAACTCAGCAGTGTGTTTACAAATCTGTACCTTGAGGATAAGAGTAAGAGGACCAGTGTAAACCTCAGAGAGGAGATGGATATCATACTATAAAGGCAAATTTAAAAGCCTCTAAGTGTAGACAATTAATCTGAAATACAATTTCAACCCAATTACAGAGTATTCGACACTGACAGTGATTTAATTGCAGGAGATCACTAAGTCACTGCACTACTGGTTGCTGGCAGGTGTTATATATACATAGTTGATCAGGGACGCACTCTGCACTCTGTCCAACTTATGCAAGACAACTAACATGAAATGTAACTAAGGTAACTTTGTTGTAAGGTTTCATTAGTTAAATTGTTTCTGTGGCAAGAAAATTGATCACATTTTGATGACAGATTATGAAACCTATTAGAATTATGTGCACAGAAGAACGGCAACATTTATTATGAAAATAAACAGTGTTGATTTTGGTTTTAATCTGGTCTTTAGAGTTAACCCGAAAGCTAAACTGACCCTACTTTCTTAATACATCCTTGCTCTTACTGTGAAAGATCCAGTGGTGGACCATTTTCCTAAGAAAAAAATTATATTTGTAATTTTTCATCAAAAAATATTTTTTTTTGCCCACCTCTGAAAAGACTTTCTGGCTGGTTTTTCAACCACCTGTTATAAGGAAACAACTTTTCACGATTCAATCAGTTCTTGTAGGAGGAACACTAAATTTATTCACTGAATAACCTTTTATGGACCTAAAATGGATTGAAAAGCCGTTTCACATTGCCTTTATGGAATCTTCCATGAGTACATATTTTTTTGTCAGTGCAGGAAGCTGCCAGAACCTGACATGAACCTGTGACCAGTGAGTTGTGATTTTGCTCATCTAATCTTGTTCTGTCGTGTAGTCTCTCTTCTGACTTAACTTTGCAATCAACCATCCTGCTAATCCCAAATCTTGCAAGCCCTGAAACTGCAGTTATTTATGAGTGCTAAAATCAACACGTGTTGGATAATCGCACCACACACGCCCGAAAACGTGTTTACACAGAGCTTCTGTCACTCCCACAGATGGCTTCTTTGATTTAAAGGTTGCTCCTCTCTCAGAGATATCAAAGCCAACAGTGTCTACCCTGCAGAATTGCTGATTTCTTCAGAAGTGAGGAGACATCCCTCTCGGATTCCCTCGTTCTTAACCTCTCTCCCACTTACGCTGACAGAACAGCAAGACTGAGCACACTAAGACATGACCAATCTGTTGACTTTCCTGTCATGGAAAACGTCTTTTACCGAAGCACCCCGCTGTTCAGGGAGGGCTGGTGAGCATTGTGTTAAATTTGGTCCCGAGTGAGCAGCTGTCTGCTGTGGGTAAATATAGGTTGCCTGTCAAGCTCTTATTCTCATTAGTCCCTTAAAGTCAACATGAGATAGCATTCGCAGCTCACACTTCAGTAAAGTGCCGTATTTCCGACTAAGAAAAAAAAATCCAGTTGTTTTACAGTAAAAAATATCTAAACACTTCTAAAATCAGATAAATGCATAAATAATGAAATAAAATAATGAATTAAAGGGGTCATATGATGCTGCTAAAAAGAACAGTATTTTGTGTATTTGGTGTAATGAAATGTGTTTATGTGGTTTAAGGTTAAAAAAAATAAAAATGAATTAAAATAACTTAAGCGTATTATGCTTATAACAAAAAGGTTATTTTTTATACATTTATAATTCTTTTTCAATATTTGAGATATACTCTGATCATTTAACAATTTCTTGGAGAAGGCTTTTTGACCAGGATGTGAAGGTTGAAGGTCAGGTTAATTCTCAAGATCAATGTATGCCAATGTTAAAACATCTTTTTTATCTTAAACATAAAAAAAATATCAGTAACAAAAATAACATCTATAAAAGTCTCAACTAGCTTTTTGGCTACTGCTTATTTAAATGTAAATATTGCGAAGATCAGAAACATGTATTGAAGTAAACAGGTCCATTCTGATTTCTTGTTGACTTTAAGTGTTGATTCTCTGAAAATATCACATAACTGATAAATAAACGTTAATAGAATAATTTTAAGAAACCTTCCTTCCTCCATTGAAGTTGAAAGAGATACACTTGCTTTCATTGTGGTGGCAGCAGCAGGGGTTCTTGTAATGAGGTGGAAGCACTGCAGGGTTTATAGGTTGAGGAACAGGTCACACATTTAGTCTTGACCCTCAACCTTATCCCTTGGTGGCTTGGAAATGGCTAAAAGGTCTGGGTTTAACCGGGAAGTAAAGAAAGAGAGACAGAACTCACCAGACTGAAAAATGCAAGCAACGTCTTTCACAGCTCTTGTAATCAGGGAGAAGTGCCGATAGAGTGGGTAGTACAAAGTCCTCCTGCCGAAAGACACCAGCACGTCTTGAACCGAGTGATATGTCTACAACACACACGCACACACACACACACACACACACACACATATAATCGTGGTTTGTAAATAAATAATGTAAATAAAATATGTAACATGACTAATAATGAAATTGAAAATAAAAACAATAAAAAATATAAATACCCTCTTACATTTTTCCGTGAAACAAAGTCTTCCTAGAGGTTTACCAAAATTAAGCTGGGAAAGCTCTCTCTCTCTCTCTCTCTCTCTCTCTCTCTAAGTTTCAATATTTATTGAACACGTCTAGCAAATCACATCTGAACAATCCTTTACTCTCTTACCTTATATAAAATAATTATTTTCTTATGTAGCATATAATATAATAGCTTTCAAGTAGAGGCAAACAATTCTGTTTGTTCTCTTTGAACAACTGGGAACAATTTTATGGTTCTGAGATTTGAGATTGCACAGAATTTTGAACAAATCTTTACATGAATTTACGGTTTTAACATAATTTTGGTCTCTTCATTATCCTAAGTACCTTTATCAGTTTCTCCAGTAACTACTCATTAGAGTAAGATTACATACTTAGTCCAACACAAGGTATCGATTTAGTTTGCTACTAGTCACTATAACAACAGTGACAAGACTCTAATTTCATTTATACTAACAAATTTCAATGGTTTGCCATTAAATTCTATGGCATATGGGGTTACTAGTTACATTGAAAAAGATAATAGTCACTACTTGACTCTTAATTTAAAAAAAATACTTATAATGTACATAAAATAACGTATTTTTAAGAAATAAATTATTTAAACTAAGAAACATCTAAACAGTTTGTTATACGTATACACCCCTTTGACTGCCAGTAATACTGATTACGCCCCGTCTTGCTCTAAACGGGCTCGTTATGTCAATAAAATCCGGTGACGTCATCATTATTCATGTCATCGTGACAGCGCTCAAGGAGGAACTTTATCACTGGGTGCGAATCAGCGACGTTCCCAGTCAGAGGGGGGGAGAGGAAGAGAAATTATGGAGATTGAGAGAGAAAGAGAGTAGGAGACAATGATAGGGCGTTGAGGAGAAACTACATTATCATTTCCTTAAGGAAATACCAGTGCTTGCGAGATAGCTTATTGAATAGAGTTGAGGTTTTAGGACTCTTCGGTTTCAGGTCTTTGTTCTGCTTAAATGAAAGCGGTGCCTTGTGTTCTATTGTCCATGGACAAGAATCGTCACACAACGCAACAATCTTTGCAGAATGAAGGTGGCTTTAGATGATTCAAAAAATGCATTTCAAGGATGAAAAGACCACAAGTTAGTATGCAAATAATTGCAAGAACAATAACCAATCATAATAATTTGTTATACAAATATTTCTGTCATCAGAAAGATTTCTGTCATCATTAACTCATCACATATTTTCGGAACTCAGTGAGAGAACCACATCTGTCTTGAATGAATCATTCAGCCTGATTTTGTGGATCAACAAATTCACAGAAAAAAATTCACTTAAAAGAACAACTCATATGCTTTTAACAAGATTGCTAGTAAATGCTAGTAAACTAAAAAATGAATAAATACAAACTACAACTAAATTAATTACTTTATAATAAAAAAAATATTTAAATAAAAATGATTCAAGACACAGAATTGCAGTTATTTGGCCATTATCATCATCTTTCTTCTTGATATATTTTTCTTTAAAGCTGCAGTCCGTAAGTTTTGCCTCTTTGTCGCCATCTCTGTTTGAAAACCTGGAATTGCAGCTGTGTGTGGAATTATCTAGCTTGCGTGGGTTGTGAGTGGGCGGCCGGCTCCAGCTCGGATTAATCTAATGTTCTGAAGAGTATGTGTGGCAGTCAGTCACCGCACCTAACACGCAACGCTAAAATGATCTACAAATCTGTTCTTTAAGCCATTCAGGTTGAATTAATTGCAGATGTTTAATACTTAGGGTCAAAGGTAAGGAAAAAACTCCTAACATCAGTGTTTGAGGAATATCAATGTAGCGCTGCTTTGCGAGCACTAAAAAGGAAACAGTGAACGAGACAATGAGGGGGCAGAGAGTTTGTGCTGTGTGTGTGTGAGAGAGAGCAGGCAGTTGGAGGACGTCATTACTACCCTTCCATTATCAGTATTGCAGTGGAGTGCTGGCTCTCAGTGCTCTGAGCTGGGAGAGGTGTCGGGTTACTCGTCCTCATTGTCACACTCGCAGTGGAAATGTGGGGGATTAGGGACTGCTGCCGCACCAGGAGTCAGGATACACGTACACACACACGCACCAAGTTTGGAGCTCTCACTCAAACCACACGCAAGCACTTTAAGGTTGAATTTGTCCCTCGCTTTGGCGTCAACTTTGGCACAGGATGCATTATGCTGATGATGAAATGTAAATGCCTGTCTGCTACATTTCACTATCCACACATGCAAGTTTATGAAAACTACTGATAAGCAGGAGTAATCGAGAACTCAGGAGAGGCAATGATAATTCATGAAAACGTGTTACAGGAACAGTTTTTTTAATATATTGTGACTGGTTACGGTGACATTCTGGGCGGTATCTTGTGACCTGATTTACAAGATATGACCTGATTTACAAGATATGTTTGTTCATATCAGTAAAACTCCACCTAGCTGTATATAACACATCACATGTCTTGTGACTGGTTGTTTTTTGTTAAGTTGTACAGCATGTTCATATTTAGACAAATTAATTGGTGTTGGAAGCTTGTTGTGTTGCATCTGGTTAGGACAAATGTTAAGAATAGAACAGGGGTGGCGAACGTCAGTCCTGGAGATTGGTTGTTTTTTGTTAAGTTGTACAGCATGTTCATATTTAGACAAATTAATTGGTGTTTGAAGCTTGTTGTGTTGCATCTGGTTAGGACAAATGTTAAGAATAGAACAGGGGTGGCGAACGTCAGTCCTGGAGAGCCGCAGCCCTGCAGAGTTTTTCTTCAACCCTAATCAAACACACCTGAACACGCTAATCAAGGTCTGAAGGGTTACTAGGAAGCTACAGGCAGGTGAGTTTTAATTAGTGTTGGAGCTGAACTCTGCAGGGCTGCGGCTCTCCAGGACTGGAGTTCGCCACCCCTGGAATAGAATAACTTTAAAGTTGCTGAGCTTTCAGACGGACAGTGGTGTAATCTACTAATCTGCATGTATATCAATGTCAGCAGTGGCTTCAAAAGCGAGATTCCATCAGAGGAAGACAAATCACTTATGTAATGTGACCAGAACACTCCAAACCCTTTATTGTAGGCTTTGTTCAGGCAGGCAGCAGAACTTGGGATGTTAAGCACAAGTAACGTCATTAAGTCTACAATACTTTTTGGAGCTGCATCTGAAAACACTCCCTTTCTTGTTCCTTACATAACAAACCAGTGTTATTGTAGTATTATTTATATTATATGAATTTGAATATAATTTATGAATATTTTGAATTATTTTATTTTAATATTTTCAGTTTTCCTTTTTATTTTAGTTTTAGTAATTTTATGTGCTTTTGTCATTTTTTATATTTATCTTGAAAAAATTTTTTTTCATTTGTTTTAGTAATTTTAGTACTTCAACTTTAGGTTTCCCATCTAATGTCTATGATTTATTTTATTTTAGCTTTATTTAAATGACCAAAAATTATTTTTTAACAACAATGTGACATGGCAAACTGTGACATTCACTATGTAGAGAATCATGAACGAATGTGCAAGTCAGCAATATCTCTATGCATGTGTAAAATCTGTATGTGTGTAAAAATGTCTTCTCATATGTCTTGAGTTCAGCATGATGGACATGAGCAGAGGCAAAATTTCCAAATTTTTCGACCTTTCTTTCCACACTGACAGCTACTCTCACTTGTAGCATGAAAAAGCCTCTTGGGCATTGTGAGATGCTTACATCATTACTATAGCAACTGAAGTAGATATACCAGATATTGACTACACTGTTTGAACAAACAGATCAGATTTAATTACATGAGGAACAGCAGTGAAGACAGTCAGTCCTGAAGATCGGATTTGAAAAACAACTCATGCGAAAAAATCCCGAGTCGCAATAAGTTAAAATCACTCGCTCATTCATTCGTTTGCGCATTCAAGGCCATATCATGTTTTGATACGCTGCTAAACGTACCACATACCTCCAGCCAGCTGAGAGTACCGCTGAGCTTCCTGATGGTCCAGGCTGACTCTACCTGCAAATCACAACACCAGTCAATATTGTAATCATTGAACCTATACACTAAACAAAACTGAACTAAAATTTTTTATTTGATTTTATTTCACACCATGTTGTCTTTGGATACATAATGTATCAGTAGTGCATTGGATATCAATATTACAATATTACAGATTCTTTTAGTTTGTAATATCCACTTTCTATTTATCAAACAATGCTGAATAAAAGTACACAGTTTTCCACAAAAATATTAAGCAGCACAACTGTTTACATTGATAATAATAATACATGTTTCTTGAGCATCAAATCCGCATATTAGAATGATTTAACACTGAAAACTGAAGTAATGGCTGCTGAAAATTCAGCTTTGCCATCACAGGAATAAATTACTTTCAAAAGCGTTTTTAAAAAAAATCTTACAACACCAAACCTTTAAACAGTAGTGTACTGTACACAAGTTATTACAGAATGTTAATATCAGCCATTTATCCGTTATCTGCCATAACATGAATATATTTATGAACTTAACAGGGATGCACAATATTATGTTTCTGGCAGATACCGATAAGTAACTTAAGTAATAAGTAATAATATTGTGCATCCCTATTTCCCACTCATCCCTAAGTCAACAGGAATGAAAGAACAAGAAATTATTATGAAAAGGTGAATTGTTTCTGGATTCAAACTTGCGTCACTCACATGAGCACCATGGCTCAGTGAGCATAAGCGCTAACCACCAAGCCACAGCTCCAACGCTAAATTTATCACTTTAGACGAGAATGTTTTAAGAAGGTTTGATATGTTCTCTAGCTATTATGGTTGAATCAAAGCCCAGAATTTGACTATACATTTAACATATGTTGAAAGCTTTGGAGTCAATCCAACAGAGCTTTTCCAAACTGAAGCCCTTGCAATATTCTATTGCTTCAACTTCAGAAGCCGTGTTTTAAAACATACCCATGATTTTCATATTTTTCAAACTTATTTTTACAATTACTACCATGTGCATTGGCCTCCAAAAAGATTATTGGGACTGTCTGGAATATTACAGGAATGTATCAACTTCCTGGAGCTTTGCTGCACGTGAAAATGCCACGACTCGCACGCCAAACCCACTTAATAGCAGAGAGATGTCTGTGGCAATCAAGCGTACACTTACATTGTGCTCTCCTTCTGTAGTGCGCACATCATAGACATACGCGAGAATGATGTCCACCAAACCAAGACAGATGTGGACGCGTGCTTTCTTATCCAGCAAGTACGAACAGTTTGTGAATTTCCTCATCTGCTCTTTTTCTTCTTCTGTGAAAGTTATTGCTGGAAGTACAGAGAGAGAAAGAGAGGCATTCAGTGTTGTTTATCAAGTTATCTCAGGGAGGTACAGTCAAAGTCAATCTCTGACAAATTCTCCCCGAAAAACAAGTTTAAACGCAGGGCTCCAGCAGGGAATGATGGATGCCTCTGCTCTGCTGAGAGCTTTAAGAAACAAAAGCATGTTTGCCACAATTATTTTTAAATCAAAGTCGGAGACAAGGCTTTTGAAGCATAGTAAAGTTACCGCACGGGAAGAGCAAAGTTACAGAGCTTGATTGATGGCCTAAACTGACTTGATACTGCATCAGGGAGGAAGGAGTCGAAGGCAGGGCAGCGAGAGAGAGAGAGAGAGAGAGAGAGAAAATGGGTAAGTCAGCACTTTAGTAGCAGCTGAAAGTGATCCCCATCTTGGCTGCAGTGCTGCCCCTGATAGAGCCCCTCGTGTGCATGCTTACATGTCCATATACACACACACACTTAAAGCTAGTGCTGGCAGAGGTCGAGTTCTGGCTCTGTTGGGAGCTGCTGGATTTCAGCGACATGACGACTGAACAGCTCCCCCATTTTCTCTCCCTCTCTACCCGATTTACCTTCTAACACAGCTGCCTCCACCTGGCAGGAAACACTGACTCCTGTGAGACCAAAGCCAGGAGCTGAGGAGGGAGTTCAGCTCCACCCCAGCTCTTGCCTTCTCTTTATATTAAACGGTTACCGTCACCAATTACTCATTGACGGATTTCTTTCTTTGTTGATTATAAAGAAACTCTTAGCACTTGTGGTACTTTTATATGGTAGGATAACAACTTCAAAACCATTCCTTCTGTCTTCGCCAATTGCTTCGTGGGCAGTGTGCCAACATATAGAGCTGTTGTGCTTCAGGAGTCCCGAGTTCGAGTCCCAGCTCGTGAAAAAACAAAAAAAAACAAACAAGTAACAAAGTAGATAAAAGTAGTAAGACGTAAATAAAAGCAAAACTGTGCATTATTTCCAAGTCTTCTGAAGCCATACGATAGATTTGTGTGCGGAAAAGACTAAAACGGAATTAATTATTTGCCGATTCAAATTTCAGTTGTGACATGAATTGAGATTCGGTCAATACGCACAGTTGAAAACAAGAAATACAATAATATTGTGAATAATTACTACAATTTTAAAGAATTGATTTCTATTTAACATTTTAAAATGTTATTTTAAAATTCATTCATATGATGGCAAAGCTGAACTTTCAGCAGCCATGAATCCAGTCTTTAGTGTCACATGATCCTTCAGAAATTACTCTAACAGTAGCTGAACGGTAGTGAGCATGAAAGTGAAAACTTGCCTTATTTCAAAGTTGCTCTACAGACAACACACAAACCAACCACTTTAAGTTTCTTCACCTCCTCCTGTTGAGTGAATTACATTTCTGGCTGTATGCTGTACAACGTTGTATTAAGGACTTAAATATTAGCTTGTTCCTCACACAAAGCTATTCCGAAGGAATACGCAGCACAATACAAAAGAAAACAGCACTAATGTTGGTCACCATCCACTATTGTTTTATCAAAAAGAGCAGCCTGGACATTCTGCTAGATGACTCTTGAGCTACTGGCCATGCCTCATTGGGGCTATAACAGCCTACTTTTATGGAATGCTTTATAATTTGTCATTCATTCAATGGCAAAATCTACAAAAACAACATCTGACACCACACAGGTGCACAGAGCACTAACACAAACAGCAAATGGAATGAGATGGGGGAGTGGAATAATGAAGTGCATACATTCATAAACACATATGGTGAGGCTGTCATCTCCGTTGGGACCTAGAGTGTGAAGATACCCGATACACATGGGAAAGCAAGGACACTACCACAGGTATAAACAACATACACACAAAATAAAGGGAGATGACAGACAAGGAAGAAGCAGAAATCTTGAATCAGAATCTTAGGAAGTAAACATAACACATTCTCATGTGTGTGATCTCTGTCGTGCAGGAAAGTTCCTCATCATGAAGACAGAGAGAACAAGTAAAGCCTTTGGTACACCTATTCCACAAATCTGTGAATTGCACTAAGAATGTACCTACAGGTTTGTAAAGAAAACGTCTGTGTGTGAGTTTATTTTGTTTACTTTCTTCAAGTGCATCTTTTTTTTTTTGAGGGGCACGGTGGGAATCATGTCTAACTTGGGTGTCCTGGGGGCGATAAAACATAACCAGAGGGAAATAAAAATGTAGGCATGTGGCTGTGTGATTTCCACTAAAGTGTATTAAATCTTTTTTTCCCATATAATTGTCAAAGATAACGATTAAATAATTAATTAGAATTTTATTTTAGAATTAAAATTCCCTTGCCGCTACTGTCTGGTGCAATGTAAAAGATGCTTCTTTGTAGGCCTGTCACGATAACAACTTTTTGTTGTGCGATATATTGCCCCAGAAATAATAGGTTGCGGAAATTCAACCATTAATCTCAAATCATTACAAAGAAATAAAGCCTACATGGTGTCTCATATCTAATGATAGCTAAACGATAATGAAAAACGAACAAGCTCATCCTAATACCCAAAGAGCCAACTTTAATGGCTTAATGAGCCATATCCAGTCAGGAAAAACTTAGAAAACAGTGAGGAGGAGATATATTATTGGCACTGATTTGCGTGCACTTCACTCAGGATGTTCAGGACAGTCTGTCCAAGCAATTAGTAGCAATTCATCTGCTCCAAGCATCCAGCATAATGATGAGAACACTAAAAATATAGTTGTATAGAAGTGTCTGTGTGCTAAGTGGCTGTACAAAGTTATTTGACTGATTGACAGCAGAAACAGACAGTTTGGAATGCATATCTTGAAATATCTCCATCTCCCTCCATTTAATCCTTCTCTTCTGTGATAGGACCCCCCCGTCCCCCGTACCAACATATGCTTGCAGCTCAGAGTAATTTCCTCATTCTGTAATCGGGCACTGAGGAATTAGCACACTACTCTAGTGATAAAGAACATGCTGGTGTGGGACACAATTGCTTCTCGGCTCTCCATGTCTGTGCCGCTTTATCACACACGTCAATATCCCACGCAACTTTAAACGTGCCAGATATGTTTCTACTATTACAACAAATGTGCCAAGAAAGAAAGAAACAGACAGACAAAACAATAGATGCATAGCTACTGTATATAGCTAGATGAAAAAATAGAGTTAAGATAGATGGAAATAGAAAGACAGATGGATTGAAGAAAAGATGAATAAATAAGAAAAGAATAGACAGACAGAATGACAGATATAAAAAAACATAGATGGAACGACAGACAGAACAACATAACAATGTCACAGAACGATAGATGGACCAGACAAAACCAGAATGACAGACAGATAGAATGATAGATAGACAGAACGATAGATAAAACCATGGACAGAATGAAAGATAGACAAAGCGATAGATAGATAGATAGATAGATAGACACATATAAAGTTAGAGATTAATGATAGACAATAACAAGATGTAAGAAAGAAAGAAAGAAAGAGTACAAGCTGCTTTGTGGGCACAAAAGTGGGCTGAGAGGTGGTTTGTACTTCGCTGACTAACCTAACTCTGTGACTCACACACAGCCTCATCAAAATGACTCAGCAGTAATAAAACAATGACAAAAAGAGTAAAAGTACGAGTGTTAAAAGTGCAAGGCTACAAATAGCTTCATATCTCCTATGTGCAACGTGTGAACACGACGCTGTTGCTAGTCTAAGATTAGGGTCCCAAGATGATCAGTTTCCGGCAAAGGCGCGCCACCTGCCGGCAGACAATAGGAACAACAGTTCTGGAAATATTCCAGGTTACATTGAAATCTTGGCGATGTCAACTAAACCCGACCTAATTCTCCATCCAGACCCACAGAGAGAGAGATACAAGACAAAGCGGTAATTATGCACTGAATGTTTAAATACATTTAGAGAGATTAACTTTATTCTCTAAAGACAGAACAAAGCGATATAGTGAATCTGAGGAGGTAAAGGTCTCACAGGTGTCGGAGTGCGCTGAAGGGTCCAGGCTCAGTTCTCTCCACCACGGTTTAAACTTCAGCAGGTTTCTGATCTCCTCCTCGTCCTCATACAAGTTCACCCCGCGTCAAACATACTCGACACTTAATGAATGAATGACTCCCAAAACAGAGTCAAAACAATAAATCAATCTGAATGTGTGGATGTTCTGTTATGTGCGAGATGTGAAATTAAATATTGTTTTAAATATTCTTTGTGATTGTAGTTTTGGCAAATTTGATGAACATCAGTACATGAACAAAAATGGTGGACTTACATGTAATGGTCGGCACAGAATATTGTGGTCTCTGCTTCTAGTCGATTGTGTCTCCTGAGCTCAGGAGCAGTATTGTCAGGATCCTTCAAGTCAATCACCTCATTCAGTTCCTCCTGATTGGTGCAAAGCAAAACAACAGTTGTCAACAATAACTCCAGGTCATTTATTTTTCAAAATGTCCCGTGGTATCATCTTTATCGTTCTTACTTGCAGTCTGGCGAAGACTCCAGACCTAAGGTTTCCAAAGCCATACTTGTGGTATTCTTTCAGCATCTCTGCTGGGGTTTCAGTGTAAACCTCCTGTTCTATCTGCCAATCAAACTCCTCCTCTTCATCTTCCTCCTCACATCCTCCACCACAGGCCTCTGTGAGAATGCCAATAGAGGGCGTTCAGTGAATACAGAACGAGTGGAACTTGAAATTAAAATAAACACCAGAAGAACGTGATGGAAGATGATCTGCTTTTCATACCCAAGGAAGAATTCAACCTTACCTGCTGTGTCCTCTACCAGTTGTTTGGCTGACCTTGATCCCTTAGGAGCCAAGAGACTGGTGAGCATCTCCAAACCCTCAAAGTGCTCTCCGGCCGTCTCTTTAGGGACATGCAGTGTGAAGAGGCCTGATAAATACACACATTCTTAAAGTGGCGTAACATAGAAGCAAATCACATGTTCTGTTTTGTGTTGTACATTTGAATGAAACTGATTCTTTTTTTATAAGTAAAAAATGCAACCAAACAATCGGTTGTTGATTGGATGGAAGCTGATCTGAAAGAGTTTGCAGTTGATTGTAAGAAAATGTTCAAGAGGACTAAATGATTGGAGACTTCCGTCACCAGAGAGAAGTCTCTTGTTGCACTGTAAAACTGAGTTATGATATTTTAATAAAAAATTACATGGTCAAAAATAGTTTACTAGATTGAAATATATTTATGGACAAATTGTTCACAATAAGATCAATACATGCATTTAGAAAATAGGGAGAATTTTCATTTCATGCTAACTTTAAGGTGACAAGATATATAGATATTCAAGATATTCAAACTATTATAATAACTAATTCAATAGTTTTTTTTTTTAAATAATGAATGTTAGCTTACCCAACCAAAAACATTTTTTGAGGAGAATGCCATAATACTAAGATGCTGCAATTCAGTTTCTAAGTTGTTCTGAATTATTGTTAATGTATTGTTATAGGGTTACTAGGGTGTTCTTTTTAGTTTCGAGGTGGGGCTAAAAGTCTCTATTCTTTGCTTGTCTTTGGTCTGTATGTGCACTCCAGAAAGGGAGTTTGATAGACCTGTTTGGAAACTCATTCTTTCTGCAATTCTGTTTGGTTCCAAGGCTAATGGTGCAGAAATGATCCACTTCACCTTTAAATCGCGAAACAGCTCATTAAGCAAGCAACTTAGCAACTTACATATTGCAATGGCACTGAAACAAAAACAGTAGGACCCAACAAAATGAACTCATTAAAGTCAGCATGAAATCGAAATTCACTCTATTTCTACATGCATGGTATAGATTGCATTGTGGATTCTTCCATGCACATTTCATTTTTACAACTTTTTGACTTTGCAGTTTTTAAATCAAAATGTCATGAGCATCCTCATGAACCCTACCACTTTCATATAACCGACTGCAAGTTCACATCTAAATCCCTCCATCCAATCAACCACCAGTGGATAGAATCAAGTCCCCGACCCGCATCTTTTTTTTTTTTTAATAATTAGTTTCACTCAGATGTATGTCACAATATGGAAGAAAACGATATTTCAGTTACATCAGAACTTCAAAGCAACAGTTCACCCAAAAATAAAAATTCAGTTCTTTCTTCTGTTGAATGCAAAATATCTTTTTTTTTTCTTTTTGTCCATACAATAAAAGTCAGCGGGGTCCAAAACAACATTCTTCAAAACAACACTGTCCCCAGCTGCCATTGGCCAAGCAAACAGATAGTCCCACCCCAAACTCATGCCATTGGTTAAGCCACTGTTGCTGTTTAGGTCTGGTTGGGATTCTTAAACAGAGCAATGTTTTGAAAGTAGCCACAATATTTACTCTTTTCTGGGAAATCAGCTTACATGTTGCATACTTAGAGTTGTCTCTACTTACTACGCTGGGACAGGATTTTTTTTTTCACCCTTAAAATGACAATAATTGCCTTGATTTTAGTCTTTACAGATTTAAGAATGATTTATAATTTCTTATGTAAACACAGAAAGCAATTAGAGGTACTTTAAGATAGACGACTTCTAAATTATTCACTGGTTGTCGATCAAAGATGACGCGCTGAAATGAGGCCAATGAGATGTCAAGCAGAAGATCCCATGGCAATTAGGTATAATTAAAAGAGCTAATCAGCAGCTCATTAAAAGTCATGTCGGGACTACGGCAGATCGGTCAGACACAATCACATCGCTGCTTCTGCTGTTTCTTCCTGAATGAAAGATTGATAAGCACTGCACGAAAGAGAGAGAGAACATGAGTGAGTATAATCAAAGTGAAGGTGTATCACAATAAAGAAAGAAGAGAGTGATGGAATCAGTGAGATGGATCGTTATGATGCTGACGGCTCGACCGACTGATGAAATGTGAGAGTTCTGTGGTATAATGAAGTCTGCTGTGCAGAAAGAAAGACAGCAAATGAGAGTAAGAAAGAGAGTTTCTCCATTTTATTATTCCCATTACTGAAAAACAACAACAACAACAAAAAAAACACATTTTAAACTAGGCTTGGTTTTAAAAAAAACTTGGTTTGCTGGTCTTAGTTGGGCCAACTAGGGCCAGCTAGAACAGCTGACTGCCTAAACCAGACAAAAAACAGCTGGGCCAGGTTGAAAAACCATCTTAAACCATCTAAGACAAGCTTAAACAAGTTAAGACCAACTTAAGCTTAAAGCATTTTTAGCAGGCATTTCTTATTGTTTAAAGGCATAGTCACCCAAAAACTACAATTCTGTTGTCATTTACTCATGTCGTTCCAAACCTATATATGAACTTCTGTTATTCTGGGGAACATGAAAGAAGATAATTTGAGAAATGGCTCAGAGTTCATTATGAGAAGCAATGTAACAACTCCAAACCCACTTCTCCCACATGTGCACAATATCTGGATTGCATCAGTGTGCTAATCACTAAACCATCATAGTGGTTTTTGATCTCTGACTTTATGTTTTCTTATGCAAACGGGAATTTGTGGAAATAGCAAAATTGTGAGGGTAAAAAAGCAGAGGGACTATATCCCACACATTACATGCTGAACGGTTACAATCTCAAAGTCTGTGCTTGAGACAACCTTGCATTAAACAAACCTATAATTTTAGACCCTGCTGGAACATTAAAGATTAAAATGGTGTTATGTTAAAATGACAATAATTGCTTTGACTGTAGTCAGATTTGTGAATGATTTATAATTACTTGTTACTCTCCATAAACACAGAAAGCAATTAGATGTTCTTTATGATAGACGACTGCTAAATTATTCACTGGCTGTCGATCAAAGAGGACACGCAGAAACGAGGCCAATGAGACGTCAGGAACAGGATCATGTGGCAATTACTAAGCAACTGGAAATCGTCATGCTATTTGGAGAGCAGTCTGACAGCCTGAACTGTTGTGGAAATTGTAAAAATCAATAACCTATCAATCAGTTCCATTGGAACTGTAAGAAAAAGCAAATCCTTGGCAGTCAAGTAGCATTGTGTTGCCTTAAATTCCTTAATTTCATCTTGTATTTATTATTTAATTTTTGGTAAATATGTACTTTTGATGTTTTTGGATTTATTTCCACAGGAATAATACAGAGAGCACTTCGGTAACCAAAAGCCAGAAGTCACCTCTGCGCTGTATGTCAGAATGCTGCCTACAAGGATATTAGCTCCAACATATTTTCGATCTTATATATGTCCTGTGAGGTTGTTATGTTGTATCCTCTGTGTGATTTTCTCCCAAACCAGTTAAACGCAAACCCCGTTTCCAGCTGTTTCCAACTATTATTGTTCTTTTGCCCTGTATATAACGTTAGTCAAAAACAAATGAATGTATGTTGCCCTGTACAAGTTTAAACCTTGTTATTTAAAGCATAATTGCTTAAGAGCATCCTTTATCTTGTTCTGTCCCACACTATGCTTTTCTTTTAGATGCCCATGATAACTGCTTTAAAACTGCAGTTCATTGTAACACAGGATTGTTATAAAATACTGACAATTTCACTCAGGCAATACAACTAACCACATCTACTAGTCTTTAATCACTATGTTATGTTTGCCTTAGATCTTAAGTAGAAGCTAGTTGGTACAAATAGAGGGGAACCTTTGAAGAAATTGATTTTTAAAAGATTAGGGCAATTTCGCTGCTTCTGCTGAAGCTTGTTCGTGTCTTGTCTTAAGAAATGCCCATGTCTGAGGTACTGAGTG